ACCCCCGCGTGCTGTGTTTCCATTCCTTACAGAAAGTCCAGGGAGCAAGAGAGAAGGGAAGGATGCTTTCCGTGCGAAAGGGATGGTCACTCACGAATTGGCCTTCTCAGCCACACCAGACACGATCCGAAGACCTCTATTCAGAGCACATTACCAGCCAGGGGAGCGTTTCCAGCAGTCTGTCTCTTCAACAAGGAAGTGGGAAACTGCTGGATAGCTCAGCGGTTTAGATATCTTACTTGTGGAGCCAAAGGTTGGGAGTTCAAATCCCCAACTGGGCTTCCTTGACACGGGGCAGGGCTTAGATGATCCAGAAGGTCTCTTCCAGGGCTGTGATTCAAAGAATATTACTATTTTTACTATCATGGTGCTGGTGTGTTCATTGGGTCCAGAAAGGGGAAAGAATCATATGTTTCTTCTTATGAGCCCCAAGCATTAGCATCTGGCGTAAGTGGTTGCTTAGGGGCCTGCAGAAAGTGGTGACAAAGGGAGTGTGGAACTTGCACGCTATAGTAAAGGAGGACACCTCTCTGCGTTGTCCCAGATGCTGTCACGGTTATTGGAGTGAAGCAAAGCAAAGCAGGGACAAACATTGGTGGGTGAGCAGAAGCACGTGTATTTATACACAGGCAGTTCAGAAACACTGTAAATGGGCCTCCCTGACAGGGGCTGAACTCAAGGGGCCCTCTGGGTCCCTTCCAGCTCTGCAGTTCTAAATGGATGATGATGACCAAAAGGCAGTTTTAGGGACTCCCCTTGACCCTTGGGAAAGGAAGAGGACAAGAGGGAGGTGGACAAGGGTGGGAATTGGGTCTAGGGACTCCTCTGCTCTAAGGGGAGAGGGGACACTGGTGGTTGGGAAGTCAGGACCAAGGGGCAGAGGGCAGGCCTGGGAAGGAGGGAGGGGGGATCTGAAGTCTGCCTCCCAAGGCAAGAGAAACAGATCAGGATAGACTTTCTGCCTCCAGAGCCATCCCACCCCTAACATGGGTTGGAAGAGCTCTGGATCCCCTTGGTTTCCCCCTTTCAGATTCCTCTTGATTTCGTCTATATGGGACTCTGTGATGGGGCTGAGAGGGCAATCCTTCAGATCAAAGTCCGGCTGAAATGCATGTGGGACTTCCTCTTTGCCGATGATGCAGCTGTTGTTGCCCACTCTGCTGAAGACCTCCAACAACTCATGAATCATTTTAGCAAGGCCTGCCAAGACTTTGGAGTAACAATCAGCCTGTAGAAAAGACAAGTCATGGTCCAGGGCATGGACTCACCATCTCCACGCAACAATTGGAGGTTGTTTATAATTTTGAGTATCTTGGCTCAACGATCTGCGACTCTCTCTAGATGTCGAGCTGGAAAATGCATTGGTAAAGCAGCTACCATGTTCTCTAGACCACAGGTCCCAAACCCCCGGGCTGCAGCCTGGTGTCAAACCATGGCCTGAGCTGGACCAGGCTGTGGAGACAGACCTCTCCCCCGCACGCACTCCCCACATGCTCAGCCCCTTTGCACATGTGCATGAACATGCGTGCCTGCATGAGCACCCCACCACCATTTGTCCATGGCCTGCGCACCCTCCTGCTCCTTTGCGCATGTGCACACATGCACGTGTGCCCATACAAGAACATGTGTGCTTCTTCATGCATGTGCATGAGCATGAGCGAGTGCCCTGCCTCCTCCAGCCAGTCTGCAGGGTTAAAAAGGTTGGGGACCCCTACTCTAGACTCACAGAGACCATGCTTAATAAGCTGACAGCATATACCAAGATCCTGGTCTATAGAGCTTGTGTCCTGAGTACACTCATGTACTGCAGTGAGTCCTGGACCCTTTGTGCATGGCAGGAGAGGAAGCTGAACAACTTCCATATGCGTTGTCTCCGACAGATTTTTGGTATCACCTGGCAGGACAAAGTTCCAAATAG